TACATAGCAAATACTAATAATATCGAGCGTAGAGGACGTAAAAGTGGAGACGTTTGATGAATAGTAGGTCAAAAGCTTGTACAAGACTTTTTTATTAAGCCTACTTTATTTATTAGCCTTTTCTATTTTTATATAGCTCTATGGTTTAATTGAAATGAAGATATCTTGCAATCCTCGAAAAAAAAGCTTAAAATGAAAATCTCGGTTTACAATAATGATAACACGAAATTTGTTTAATCGCTTGCTATATGCGAAGGAGTATTTGCTTCACCTTACATATATAAAAGGCACACTGCCTTTAACATACCGTTATGTACGTGACAGTTTTCTGTTTTACAGTGTTTTAGATTGCAACCAACAAGAACAACCGGCCCTATATACTTCTCTACCTATGTACTTTTCATACCCGGCAAGTCTAAGTAATATTAAGCTGCTGCATAAACATCGAACGGATTTGCCTCTGTATATTTCGATTTTACGTGTCACTAAGATTAGCAGACAAATACGTTAACTACTGAGCTATCACGGGGACGGAACCGGCTTGCCTGAGAAAGTAACGGCCTAATATTCCCCACACCGAATGACAATGATAAGCGGTCAAAATGAATGTAGGGCTATAATATAAATGAGTGGATGGATTATACTGTGCAATCTGACTGCCTGCACGTGAAACAAGGCAATGTGTCATTTCAGCCCAAAGTGAACGTATACCGAAGTGAATATCTCAGCACTGCTCAGGATTGGCCCAGCTCCATGAAAGTTTTTATTACATGATTTGATCGTAAAGGGCGCAGGACTAACGAATCTGACTGTTTACCGTTGGGATCCATGATGATCGACAGAAAGCGTTTTTAAGACTTCTTTCTTTGTCTGCGTCTGGATCAGTTTCCGGTTTTCGTTGCGCTATAGCTGAGGACTGATCCTTTTAATTCGTACATTGTACTGCAGCGAACATAGGTATTTATGTGCGCGCCCTCTTCTCGTTGTCCATAGTTTGAACCAGCGTATGACTCATGATGACGCTACGTTTTTGCTCCCTGCTCCTGCTGTTGCTCGAAATGTGTTTGTTGGCGTTGCTGTAACCCTGCTGAACGAGCTGCTGCCCTGATTGTGGTGCGCATGCGCCGTATTGGTTCGCGGTTCGCCTCAGTTGTTTGCTCGGCGTAACGATCGTGTGTGAATAAGAAGCAGGCGATGGCAACGCTAACCGGTGGCCATTACCACATAGGACCCGCGCAGTTCTCTCGAGGCGACGGCGGTCCTGTCGCCATCATTGGGGCGGGTAGCGCCAAGTTGTCAGGGACGCTCCGAACAACAAACTATACGCTTTGACAGCGTCCGGTATTTATCCATGTTCATGCGTTCATTTGACTCGACGGACGAACGGACTAATAAACTTACGACGGACTAAAATCTTATCGTATAAATCGAATCCGTACAGAACATGAGCTAATATGGTGTGTCATGCTTGATTGCTGATAGAGCCCCAGTGTTACCCGAATAGAACGCCATCGAGTTAGAGACTCAAGAGTAATATATGCTCGTTAACGTAAATACAGGTAAAACAACGACGCATATCGATAGGAAAACGTCACGCTACACGGGACAATTTGTCAGCCATTGATTAGGCGGAATTTTTTTCGCGAACTTAGCGATTCGTCTATGCAAAAGCTTACTGCCGTTGCGTTGTTACTGAAACCATTACTGTGTTAATCGACCGAGCATACAAATTATTTATGCTTTTTTTTTCATTCTACTTTACCACGTCGACTAGGCTTAACTGCAAGAGTAAATATTAAGCTTATTAGATTCCAGATGAACAGCATTCTGGCATCGTTCATATGCATTATCCATGAAAACAAACCTATGTCCCTATTTCCACGAAGTCGACAAGACCCGCATCTCTCTACAGGAGCCATCCGAATAATCGCTTCGAGCAGAAAATGTACACTCGGTGGCCAACTAGTTGTTACCCGCGGCGATCGAAACTGCTTAACTGAACCTCTTAAGCATTAGCCCGGGTTTCGTCAGTATAAGAGAAGCTCTCCAACATGTTAGCGGACATCCAATTCCGACTGTTTTAGATGAACCGGAACACCAAACAGAAACGCACAAACGTGCCTCTGTAGTGCGAGGCGCAATGACAAGGAGCTAGCACTTTCTAAAAGGACTCCAAAGAGTAGACCAATTGTAACTCTAACTAGTAACAGGATCTCCTAACGGGTAGCTTTAGTAGACTGGAAAAGCGAGGATTTCTATTGAAGGAATAATGCAACCTCTTTTATTAAAGTTTATGCTTGCTTTGTTGCCTTCGACGTAAACTCATCTAATTGATCTTAGCACAAATGAACTTGACGGAGCTTTCTTAAGCTTGCTGCATTACCAATGATCTGAATAGCTTTTGTTGTACACCTCGCATGTGTGGTGGTTGACCTCGTTGATCTACTCCATCCGCACTATATCTTGCGAAAACAGTTTTCAAGTGAAATTCGAAATATATCAAAAGAGAGAGCTGTATGATCGGCGACCATGCAGGTTCGTCAGTCACGTGCCCTGCACAAAGCGCTCAACCTTTCCTGCTCGTTTCGTCCGACTCTGCGTCATCTACGTGTTCGGCAAGCACCAACTTGAGTACATATGAGAGTCTATCTGACGACTCCTAGAAAGAAATTCGTGAAGGTGTAAGTTATAACACTTTCCAACGTATACGTTTCCAAGATGGCCGTAGACATAGAATAGGATATTCAAACAGTTTTGCGTCAGCGAGATGGCCGCGCTTCGGCCTGACGGATTTCATCGTCATCTATTTCCTGTGCTCGTTCACTGCCGTTGTATTTTGTGTCCTCTTAACGGTTGTTCGCTTTTCGCTGTATAGCCTTTCTTTTTTTTTACCAAATATGCAATTCTCCCATAGAAACTATTCATCGCATGACCATGATTAGTTGTAGTTGTTGCCACTGCTATTGTTGCGGCGCGACATCTCGTGCCTTGACACGATACAACACGCGCATACGGACAGCAGCTGCTGCTACTTCTGCCTTTGACCCGATGTTTCTATCAACTTGTTCAGTTCAGCAGCGGTCGATGTCGATAGGCCCCTGGTTGTTTCAGTCTGCCCGGTTGCCTGCCTGAGCCAGCCGTCCACCGCCGCAGCCGGCACCGGTGCTAGTCTGGTTTCTTGCTGGGTCGGCTGGTGCCTCCACAAGAGCGAGAGGAGCCACCCGCTCGGCCGTGGACATTGCACTAGCGGCCCCTTTGAGAGAGGGTACAGTGAGCGCCTTCGCGGCCATAACAGTAGCCATATGTGTATTTTTGCCTGAGCTTCTCTTGCGAGACAGGAGTTGAATAATCGATCATTAGCCTTTTTTTACGCGCATTTATAACAGTACGTTCACTTTTGTTTAAGAATAAACTGCAAATTAGCCGTGGAACACTGAGAAAGCTCGATTTTGTTCGACTGCATTCTATTTTTTTTTCACTGGCCCGTCTTTATCTGTTATCAGTTGCTAGGTTTCTTCATTTAATAGATACTACAATAAAAAAGAAGTATAAGTATCTTACTCATGGTAATCTACGCTGTTGGTTGTCTTCGGCGAGTATGAGCTTTGTCCTGCTCAGAATGATACTTGTGTCATATTGAATCGCACCTTATCCACACAATAAGTAATCATCACTGTAAGTGCCCAGAAATATTTTGCTTACCGACTTTGAGCAACCATTTCTGCGTATACAATTTATCTGCTCAAAGTGAAACCAATTTCATACAGCGTTGAGGTAGCAAAGCGGCGTTTTCCATCGGCCCATCACCGTGTGCCGCCATCCGCCACACCCCCTCTTGCGTCCATAGTTTTTGCGGCTGACGTCTCTTCCTCCATGCATTTAGCCTTCTGGTGGCAGGCAGTAGCAGTCTTGCTTGTCCTGTGCTGCTGAGGTTCGTCACCCCCCAAGTTCTCGCCAATAAGCTAGGCACTTTTCTACCCAGACTCGGGTACGCCCAAAACGTTCATAGGCTTCTCCATATGCTGTAGACAGACGTGCAGACATTATTTCTCGCTTATTGTGTGCGTGTTGACTGGGTTCAGCTGCACAACGGAGGGAATAGTGGAATTGAAATGATGTGCCTTTTGCTGCTACTCCTCATCGCTGCTTTCCTATTGCGGCTACGATAGCGACGGCTCCAAAATACAACTAGCACCGCTGTAGCAGCCATGCGGCTGCCGGGAGCTGCCCGAGCTATGCGCCTATCTGGCACAGCAGCAAGTAACGTCTGCATATAGAGACCTGTGCATTTATTGCGCTGATGCGTGAACGGTTGGTGCACGTACAAGTTCGGAATTCTCACAAAGTTTGCTTCACTACTCCCACTGGACTTCGCCAATTTGACAGGGTAAGTAGAGTGAACTTCGGTGTTTGATCTTGTGGACTCTGCTGGCCGTTGGTCGCGCTTGATCCTACAGGTGCTTCATGATCCCGTGCTCTCCTATTGGTAAGCACCGGAAATCGTTCTACTTCTGATCGAGTGCGGTATGCTCTTCGAGCTGCGATGGCCTAACTAGTGATTTGAGTAGGTTAAACGCATGTCCTGTATCTACAAAAATGGTATCTGTGTACGTTGAGCAGGAGGAGGCCATAGATTAAGTCGTTGTTGGGCTGGGAATTTCGTATTTTTCGCGGCTGAAGGTTGTGCTTTAGTTGATTCATTCTAGCTATAAGCGTTTGTAATAATTCTTTGTTGAAGTTGGGCATCTCTGCCAGTGTATTCGTTGAGAGCGAGATGAAGACCCTGAAGAAAAACCATCCGGACATCAGATGTTGCCGGTTAGCTTCCGCGACATCATGATCCGCGAGAGTAACGGCAATTCGCAAGGACGCGTGATGTGAAAGTGATGAGATTTTCACTACGAAGACGAAGATTGTGTTGATGAGAGATCATGATGACTTATTTGAATGGCGCTTTGCAAACAACATGGTATACAGGTAAACAAGTATGCTGAGTGGATTATCTCTGGGTTGATTGCAGGCGGTGTCGTTAAAATGTTTCGGATCGAGGAGAAAGATGGCGACACATACATCTACAGTGTTGTCAACAAAAAGCTACTCTGCGTACTTCGGGATAACCGATTTGCGACGAAGGTATCTATCGATATAGAAAACAGATCAAGTAGCTGTTTATCGTAAACGGACGAGCGGTTTTTTACTTAAGAATAAAAAGAAGTGATATTGTATTCCTATATGGGATTGAGTTATAAAAACGTGTTAATTGCTGATCGGTTCAGGACAGTACTGTTGTTGATTGCCGTCAGATCGGTCCCGTCTGCATCGGAACAGGTTTGATCGCATCACGTCACCTGCTTTGTTGTTTGCTTCAAGTTCTTTTCCGCCACTTAGAAGAAACATTTTAAGCATCTATAATCATCGTTTAAGTGTATGAGGTTTCTATGGCGCTGATGTGTCGGCTTGTTGTAGCACTGCTCCTTCGTGTTCTTCAATGGGTGCTGGAGCGCGTTTTACATAATTTATTTGTAGGACGACCAGCGCGCCAAGGCTTTATTTATGTGCAGTTAGCATTGTCGCCGCTTTCACAGGCCGGGATTGACTCCTGCAATGTTTGGCATCACTTCAAGCTTTGCACTCTTTAGGAGATAGGGAACAATCAAAACCGTACCAAGTTATTGCGCCACTCTATAGGCAGCGATATGTTAATTAGAGCTGAAGATGTTTTTCCGGTGGCCTGTGTACCTAATACTTTTGCTGAACTTGGCCGAAAATTATCACATAAATTTCGGCCATCACGCTTCTGCTTTACAGACAGGTTTGACATTCGTGGACACCAAGATTGTGTCGGTTCACGAGTCGTTGCGAAGACGCGAAGCATTAAAAAACGGTAAATATGAGTCGAGCTTGAAGAAAAGTTCGTTTCCAGTACGTCTCCCTCCGGAGGAGCCGGAACCACCCCGCACGAAGAAATATTTCTTATCGAAATTTGGGCTTCAAAACGTGCAGCGTCAACAAAAAATCTTCGAAGATCTCCGACCATCAAAGACATTTCTCGAGGAGGTTCCATTCTCATCAATAACGGGCCGTAGGGTAATGAAGCTGAGACCCACTAACGTCAATCCGAATGAAGTGAGTGTTTGAAAGAATGCAAAGCAGTTTGTATTTAGCTCTTAGATTGTCGATCACTGCCTTTTTTTGTAGGACGGGTCTAGCTCATAATTTGTAAGTTTGTTAATGTCATTACTCTTAAAATCGGTATTTCTTAGCATAAGAGTTGAGACCGTTGGTGATTTTTTTTTCGTTCTCTCGATAACGGCCGAGAGGCTCCAGAGAGGAAAGAGTCGTCATTCTCATTGAAAGCTTACTTCATGCCTGACGTTTAGTGTTCACATGGGTAAGCTTGCCGCTTTGGCTCTGAAGGTCAAACGGTCTTGGATGCGGCAACTAGCATGATGCAACCTGGAAACAACTGGACTGCTTCGCAACGCAGACATTGTTACCCTATGAGTCGGTTACTGCGTGTATGTTACCTGAAAAATGGAGCAAGTCTTTTTGTTGAAAACCTTCCCATGTGAGATGAAACAGATTCGTTAACCGGAAACCGAAAGGAGCGATAGTAATTGCTTCTACGGGAAGTATATCAAACCAAAATACGCAATTCATATATCCTGAAGGTTTATTTTCCAGATGTATTTTCTATCAGTTTTGATATGTCAGCAACTGTAATACCATACCATATAACTTTCAACATTAACCTAAACGATAAGGTTCAGTCAGCTAACATTTAGTCCTCCGGACCAATAATTAACTATATCATTTTGCTCTTTAATGTATTGTCGTTCTAGAGCAATTCTTGTATTTGACTGGGTTTCCTTAAACCTGTTATAAGTAGTTATATTATGAGTTGAACTTAGATCTGCTTAGATTGGTAAACTTGCGCAGTTCTTTAAATGCACACAACCCCATTTTGGGCCCGATTCAGTCGCAATAAGTTTTAGGTTTCTGTATTTGAAAAAAAAATTTTTATTTCACATTAGTTCAAATATCCATAAGTTGATCTCTTTCAACTAGTAGAGCTTTCATCCGGTTCAGAGACTATTCAGTTTGAATTAAGTTGACCTATATCGTGAATACAATGTCTAAGCAGTAAAACAACGTCGAATGTTGAACGACCACATATTACTATGACAATAAGATCATTCCGAAATTGAATTCAAAGGACCGTTACCTGTGCCTGTTGCTGTGTGCAGCAAGTATAGATTAGCATGTAGGTAACGCACTCTTCAAGAGTTAAACGGCCGCGTGCGTAAGGACACAGGTTCTTACAATCGTCTCATTTACAGGCACCTCGCTACGACCGGTACGTGAATCGGAAGTGCGCACCACCTTTGGACTGCATCACGTACCCGAATGTTTATCGTGGTGGCGAGTACCCACAAGCGGCACCAATTCGACTTTATCTGTTCGGCAAAAGGCCGAAGGATGAGCTGCTCTTAGTGAAAAGGCTTCGACCCTTTGACCGGCTCTCAAGGCGCTCCTAGGACCCACTCAGGTATCAGATATAGAAGGGATCAATTAGAACAACTAGTTCACGCGATTACATTTCTGCGATACACGACAGATCTGGCCCATGAGGAAGCTGTTTGGTACAATTCTGCTATTGTTGAACTTGATTACGATGGCCAATCATAATTGTAAGGCTCAAAAGGACAATAGGCCCAGGACAATGTACTGCATGATTTTATTACATTATCGCGATAATTGTTATAATTGTCATTCTAGCAACATGCCTGATAGCAGAAACAGGAAACAACAGTAGTACTAGTAAGAGGAGGAGTAACGATAAGATCAACAAAGTGGCCCCTGAACAGTGAAATAACGACATAATGATGGATGGCCATTGGGCCTACGGAGCGCCCTGCTGGTCGCTCATTCCAAATGCACCTGTAGATCCATTTCTATAAATATAAATACGAATAATAATCATAACATTATAAAACTATATGGTGAGCGCAAACTGTAAGGTGCAACAATATTTCAATGTGCTATGCTTTTCACTCCATCCTGATGTGCCTTCCTGACCCTTCTTACTGTACACGTTCCTTTTAGAACAATCTTGCCTTACTCGTTGTTTTTTCTTCATGAGGCACATCATGCACCGGGTACGTAGCATAATAGTAAGTGATGATAATTGATGAATCATGAGTATGTTTCGTCTGGAAGGACGTCCTTGAAAAAAATGGAATTGATTAGCTTTTCATGGACCACAACAAGGCATAGTTTCATCCTTGAGATTTCTGCTACTAATTGAAATTAACAGGATCAGTGTGTTTGGTGCAGAAGACATTTAATCTTAACTCACCATTCAACTAGATGTAATACGTACATAGATAGAACCGCAACGTGTTTATAGATGTATTATATATTTATATCAATGGATTGTTAACCCATAACGAGTAGCGGGTTTAAAAAATTCAGTCGTTTTCCACTAATGTATAATAGTAATATAATGGCCAAAAGCTCTTAGGTCCATAGTGATTATAATTAGAGCGAGCTAACTATAATAACTCATTCAATTTACTATTGTTCATTTACTGCCTTTGCACACGATCCACCTTAAAGTTCTAAAAACTATTTGCTCATTCATCTTGCAATCTATACCTACTCAGGGAGTGTTTATCGTGTCTGATATCGTGATGATCTGTGAGAAAACCAATCTGTCACTGCATTATCGCATGTACTCACGCAGCCATTCGTTGGAAAGGTCGATCGAATGATGACTTTTTGTTTACGCTATCTGCGATTATGTGAGGATCAGGCATCACTTTTATTTTTTTCCCTAACTCCTTTTGCGCCCCTTTCACGCTCCCCCTACCTCCTAATTCTCGTCCCCTCATTATTTAGTATCGTTGCTGGTCATACCAACCAGCTTCGAAGCCCGTTTAGCAAGCCCACAGCCGCCCTAACGTCCGATGTTTTAAACATCTGCTCGAACGCTCCAACCAAACACAATTTCAACAAATCTCGATCAGCACTCATCACTGGAAGCGATGTATTGTAAACACCGCACCCGTGTTGCTTATGTAGTCTCGGCAAATGTTTGTATAAAAAAATGGTGTATACAAGAAAAAGAAAATGCTGTGAGATTACTTATAGGAGACAGAGGAGGAAGTGCTGTAAAAATGATGGAGCTGATTATACTCCGTAGAGCTGAGTAGTATATAGCGGGCATGGATTGAAGGTCCGTGCTCGCCCAATGTCGATCAGTCAGTCAATACGACGACAATACAAACTAATAGTGCATATGACATAAAACACTTTTGCAAATTGCCAAAAAATGAGTTGGATCCAAAGTTTGCAAAGCGCTGGGATTGAAGTTACGCGACAAATCAGTTTCTTCTCAACTAGTAAAATGTACGTAGAGACAATAATACAAGATAAGCAAGTAACAAGGGATGTATCTACAACTGGCAACAACTTACGATAACAGAAAAATGATGCCAATGCAAACATATGACGACGCCGCCGCCGCTCGGAAGACCAACAAATGACGTTAACTTCTAATCAAAACTCACCGCCTTGGTGATGCGTATCTGTGAATGAATGTAAATGTAGGGTGTGGCCATTTATGTTAACTATTACTATTATTATTATAAAAACGAATAGTATAACATTAAAGATGCTAATACTACAAGGTAAGTGATGATTCCTGGTAAGTAGTACATTTTTGACGTGTACAGCCACAGGAACAGCCTGGATTCACGTTACATTGTTGTATACTTTGTATATAGAACGTAAAAGCTTTCACGCAAAAACGAAAAAAAGAGAATAAATACTCTTTTGTAAATTTAAAAAAAAAATCGCAAATTAGTGATTTATATAGAAAAATGATACAAAACGTGTGTTCACTTTTATCGAAAGGAAGGGTATAAGCTATTATGGGAGTTGCGGCTATCACAAGAATTAGGCAGGTGAAAGTAGTGAAAACTATAGATGTATAGAGATTTCATGAAGAGGCTATCTCATCGCCTGTAGCTTAATCAGCGGCCTTTAGCAGGAAGGAGTCCAGGAACGATACACTTGGGATTTCGTGTTTCCAAGGCAGGTCTATCACCTGTTTTTACATATCTGTACATATTGGGCGCAGTATTCAGATTCAGACGGATTCTGGTTGGATGTTTGATTTGGAAGCTATGTGTTCCTCCACTTGAGTACCAGAGGTAGGCCAGTTCTTTCCAGAACACTGGAACAGACCCGTCATGATGATGCGTTGTTTTCGGAATTCACGGAACAATAAGCTATTGCCTTCAGTCAAGCAAAACGTCAGCCAAAGGGAATCTTTTGTTTTTGTTTGAAATCGACAATTATTGCCAATTTTTATGCGATTCTTGACAAATCCGAGAAAGGTTCTTACAACACAAGCCGAGAGATTTATAGATTGAAGAACGAATGTTTTGAAAATGAATGAGTGGTTTAGGTGTATAGTTAGAGATCCAATCGCCGTGAATAACGGTTGTATTAAATAAACATGACCATTTAGAGCGGCATTTCTGGCATGAGCAAAAAAATCGGGATTTACTTGCCGCACGCTGTACGTAATCCCGAAGATGGCAAAATAAATTTATCTGTCTATATTTGATAAGAACGTTTAGCCTGGCGACAGATCTGCTTATTAATAAATTCATGTCTAAAAGACCTCATTTTGTTTTTGAAACTGCAAAACACTGTTTTGTGCTGGTGACGGTGGGTTGCGCGGTGCATGTACCTGGTAAGCAAACGTGTATCAAAGCGAGCCAGTGGCGAATGTGTGATTCGTTACATCCCAGCGTTTCTTCGCAAGGCAGAAGCGTCGACGTATCGCGATGAACCGTTCCCGTTACGAGCTTAATGCAGGGGATCTCTAGGAAAAATGGGCAACAATAAATATGGTTTAAGCCGCAGGAATGATAGAGCAAGGGCATCCAGGTCAGGCTGCAATTCGTTTAATCTAAGAAACTAAATTAACCACATCGAATCTTCCCGTTTTGACTAGCCTCTTCTGTGTGATCTTTCATTTAGAGCCGAAATCTCATAGACACTAGTTCTATCGCTTAGAAACGTATTTGCAAAACAGTATACTACTGTCTACTATAGGATTTTATGACCGGTGTTCGATAATCATTGTGAAGATAGTTAATAGAAGTAAGTAGATGTTTCGCGTTTTATGGACGCTACCACAGGCAAAATGCTTAGTTTCAGTGCGCAATTAGTCATATAGCATGGAAAAAAATCGTTTCTGCTCCGTTAATGCAATACTATAAACCACTAATAATAGTATTTTTTTATTTTTTGTAAAAAAATAATTTGTAATTGTAACTAATAGTAATTTGTGCAGCGGGAACATCGCTTCGATTTTCCATTTTTAAACAGCTCTTGCTCAGACGTTACGAGGTCCATGAAAAGGATCCTGAGGCACGCCTACGTGCCCTCTTAAGCATATTCAATTAAATCATGCTCGATTTGCTATATTGTTTAGAAATGAAGGAAGTAGTTTTGATAATTCTCACACAGTCAATTATCTTTATTAGATAAACTAGGTATTTATAGAACCAATAGTGTCACAAAAAGCCAGATCGAATGAGCGATAAGCAAAAAGCCATACTGAAATCACGACGAGGAAATTCAGGTAATTGACTCTGACACAGTGGAGCTGTAGGCCGGAGTGAGGTGCAACTGTCCCTGAACAATAGATTTTTATAAAAGAAGCTGTCTGCAAATTTAAATTCGTAATTTTCATGAGATTTCACGAATTTTTTATTTTTCATTAATTAGTATTTATTTTTCATCCTGACAGAGTACTAACAATAACAGCGATAGAATTTTAATTAATTTAAATGTAGAGAATAATGGTCAGCCGTATAAAGCAAGAAAAGTACGCTGATGTATTGTCTACTGTTTTATATTAACATAAACATGCAGGTGATATATCGTGTGTTGAAAAGACCCTTCATTATCCAAGGTTTTAAAAGTTTGTTCTACTCAATGCCATTGTGAAAATAGGATCTGCTTTATAAGACGGTGTCGCATAGACCGTAGTCGTTTTACGTTAACTTCCGCACTGACCAGTGTCATTGTCTTTGATAAGCTCGATTTATAAATGGTTCTTTCAGTCAGTAGCTGCAACGAACCAGTGGATTCGCAGCAACGTGGAATATGGTCAAACACGTCATCCACGACCCAAAGGAAGCTCGTCAATAAACGTGTCCAGTTTGATGTGTTGTTTAGATTTTGGGGAAAGCATTGCCTGCCTGTGCCTAATGAAAATTTAGTGGGGTGCGGCATGGGAAAGACTAACAGAAAATGTTTTGCTTTCAAATTCGTACAATTTGCCTACCTGCTACGATACCAACTAGTTATATAATTAAGCTTGATGAATTCATATGCACCCTTTTTCTTCCAAGAGTTACGCTTTCTTTTAAGTACACCTTTTCCTACACTTGTAGAGTGTCATGTCTGCATCATGAAATATAGACGCATTGTATAGTATATCGTTGCTTTGTACAAAGCATATCCTTTCTTGTGCTGTTTTTGAATAAAGGCTCCCTTCCCAACTTCTTTCGAGTTTCCAGTATGGAATATATAAGGTAAATAGCCCCTGCTTTACGCAGTAAGGGTTTCACTAATGATTTGAGTTTGGTTTTATTTGTATGGATCCTTATGTTACACTTTTGTTTCATAAACAACTGCTCTATACACAATATGTAGGTCTTCATATATAAAGAAATAGATCGGCCACCAAAAGCGTCTTCTGAACTTTTTGGTGTATTAAAGAATTTCTACTAACCGAACCTTAGCAAGAGGCACAAGTTTTTGGCAGTACAGAGCTGTTCGATCTTTCCCTGGTGAGCGAGCTTGGCGTTCGCAGTTCTCCCGTACGACTTTTTGACTATGTTAGTCGGTGTCGCATGCTGATTCGACTCGAAATTAGGATAACAAGAGAAAGGAGTGCGATAGGTCAACAACTTTCGAACTTCTCCACAACGTCGATAATCTATGAGAGTACATGGCGGTCAAATAACAGTTCTTGCTGTGGATATTCTTGACGATTCCCTTCAAATTAAGAGACCTCTTTCGCGCTGTCCTTGGGTACGATAACTAGTGCTATAGCTCTTACCTCCGATCCTTGTCCGATTGTTGTGGAGATCGACATAGCGTGTTGTTTTTACTCACCATTTAGTCTTTATGCCTGCGTCTTTTAACTTGGTTTCCACGTCTACTTTGGACATGCATAAGCTCAGATAAATCTCTGCTTTGTCAGGAGTGTAATAAATGCGTCTGCATCGACAAAAAGTTACTGTTTAAACCGATTAGCTACAGCCACTGTCCTTTTTCAGTATCAAAATAAAAGGAGCAGGATAAACGTACTGCCTGTACAAATGCAAATGGAGTAATTATTAAAACTTGAATTCTATCTAAGAGCCTTCAAACGTATCGTTCTCGCCAGCTGTATATCTTTGCTTTACCCTTACTTCTCTACCAATTATTTTTCAAGTATTTTGCGATGATATATGTAGCACGTCCTGGTAAACACAGAAAAAGGAAAAAAGGAATACAATATTTTTAGCCTTTACGCAAAATTTTGTTTACTCTGGTTGCTCGCTCTTCTCTGTCTCCGTTCTGCACATGGCTACGCGATGACTCTGCTGACAATTCGGAAACTCCGTCAGTTTAGTGTTCTCCGGTATATACATGTACATAAATAATAGTACAGTAACTTTACATACTATACTCTTCCAGCGTAAGTAGTTCGTTCCCGCGTTCTGTTCCACTGCTTGACGTCATGCGCCGCTGAAAGTGTATCAGCACCACCGCCGTTACCATGGCCTTAACGGCTGTAATTGCTTCGACTCGACAACGACAAAATTAGGCACCACGAGATGCCTCTTTCCTATTGCATGCCGTTACCTGCTGTTATTTGCCTAACGTACACACGGACACTCTGTGGTTAACCGTCTGCGTCGATGGCAACAGGAAAAAACAGCCACAGGCGATACCAGACCAAGCTGGTGTCTGTTCGGCTCAGCCCTGCAACTAGCGAGTTGAAAGTACCAACAGTCGTTCTACGTCGGCCACTCTGCTGCCTGTTGGATTAAAAAGCAGCCCTTGTAGCAGTCCTTTTACGGCTATGTCGCTACGCAGATAAAGGTGAGTCGCAGCATCGTTCCGTAGAGCAGCTAGTGCAGCCCCAGACACGCTAAAAGAGCAGCAGAAACAACATGAACAGCGAGCCTACCGAGTCCATCGCACTTATTATACTATGCCTTCTCCCCTTCACTCTATCGCCACAGCCATAATCAACAATGAGTACAATTCAGCTACTACGGTCGTTCTGTTCTCGGAACATGGCCGATAAATGCGACAATCGCGCCTGTTAGCTAATGTTGGCTTGATGTGGGGCGTTTGCCGCATTGCATCGCTATGCGCAGTGCTAGATGCGGCTCTTCTTGTTGCCGCCACCGCCATTAGTTCCAATCCCGCACGATAAAGGCCTCGGCTTAGATGTACCATTACACTGATGTGTACGCACTTTGCAGTCGGCGATTCGCCGTCTTCTACTATTCCTATTGTTGCTGCAAATGCTTGAGGCCGCTAGCGGGCGAAAAGTGGCAAGCCACGACAACCGTTGATTGTTGAGCGCTTTCGCTGCGAGAGGTCGCATAACGGTAGACCGATGAATGGTAAATAAACGATCATGCGGAGGTGGACATTACTGCTATTTGGTTGTTAGACGCGAATTCCCGTTACAGTTTAGTGGGTAATTTATGTGCCTGCTAATGTTAGACACACGTGGCCCAGGTTTGAATCCGGGTAGAGACACACTTGGCTTCGTACTGAGAGTCAGGCATATGATGGAAAGCACAGCGATACTGACCGTAAAACGCGAAACGTAGAGAGGTTGTTGCAAGCGAATCCGGCGTACTTTGAGATTGATCACCTTTTAAACTGCGCGTCGCCATCACACGGAGGTTTGCTACTGAGTGTTTCAATCTTCTGGAAACTTGTTGATGAAAACTTGATGTTGGGCTTACTCCAGGAGAAATGCATTCAGACAGAAAAACATTAGCGAAAGCGTAGTATGCAAACGTTTCAAGAACAGAAATTTAGGTCTTAAAGACCAGCAATAAGGTGACCAGATGTAGGAATCCGAAGGGCAAGAGCGCATTGCCGCATTCGAACAGGGTTTCGCCAAAAACAGAGCTTGGAGTCTAAGGACTGTGTCGGCCAGAACCAACATTCTACATGTAACGTTTTAAAGATTTGTAGTCCAAATACTGAAGATACCGAAACTCAGTAAAAATTAATTTCCCGTGAATCGACTCCGGGCCAAATGTAAATGCACGTAATTTATTGCAAGTGTGATATGAGAAACATAAATCAGCCAAAAATTCGTTTGGAGCATAGACATAGGAGAACGCAATGATATCTATATCGCCAGCAGGAGAGACACTAGGAAAGAGAATGAATCGCTCTGGAGAGGAATCGAGTTCTCGGTGACTTCAAAGTACTCATCGAAAATGAAGTAATGCATGCCGCCCGAGTTTCTCAAGACATTCTAGTACTGCTATTACAGCAATCGAAAGCACGCAATCCTATAGCTTGATGATAATGCTAAACCTCATCGCTGTTTTAGTTACTTTCTAGATTCGGCAAAGGTGTATTCAATGTTAACTTTAACCCACTTATTCTCTCGATCTAAGTCCCTATGATTACGAGGCTTTCCATGTCCTAAAAAAAAGCAACTCACGGGCAAGCATATACCACTATTTAACTAGAGAAGCCATAGATATATAAATTAAATATAAGAATGCAAACGGCACATACATAGCTGCTCAGAAGCTGTAGCGCGCTGTGCCATGCGTAAAAAATAAAGGGGAGTACCTCTAACACACGATTTATTAATAAATTGTTCTAGCCTAACTAAGCAAAAGAATTCAAGTATTCAATTTAAAAGTCATTGGGTTCGCTATAACGTCTTTGTACTATTAATTCATTCGGAAAGCCACATCTTCTATGTCTCAAATGTTAAGTGTTGAAGTAGCAAGTGAAATAAAAGCAACTATCGAGAAGGAATGGGACAAATTCTTTTTCGCTGTTTATTAGCACGGGGCACGGACCAAAAAGTGCTTAAAAAAAACTGAAGTTTACAAGGTCACCGTATGTAACAATCTCGCACGATTGGAACAATTAACTAGAAAATGGCAATATGGTGATATTCATGATATAAGGAAAGGTTCATACGACGAGCGCCTGCATTAGGCAAATATCCACAATGAAGACGGGCATTCATTTGTGGGTCATAAGAAACAAGGCTTCAGTGGCGCAATTATGGTAAATGGGTTTAATCCTCGCAATAAACAAAATAATTTCTTAGGAAAAATAAGATGGCTCACGTTGCAGTCACTGATATAACAAAGGGCTGCATATAAATTAACATAACATAAACATGCCATCACAGACTTATATGCGATTGAGTAGACAATTCCTCCACTGTACAAAATCGGACGAATCGGGTGTCGCGTTATCTGCGAGATCTGTGTTTCAACTGATTCGAAGCAACATGTGTGAACTCCACTAATTGTATATTTGTAGAATTACACCATCGTCCGGTACATAAAGATCGCTTTATTTAGATCAGACTTAAATTAATCAGAGACAGAATATCTTTACTGGTGTGGAATGTATTTCCATGTGTTGCGGGAAACTGGGAAACTAATGCATGTATTTCTTCAGTTTTTCTTTCAGAAACTGAACGCTTATTAATTTCACAGTTCGAAGACCATGAAAAATACCAAAGATGATGCGCAGCGCTGCAACTGGTGCCTTTAGTTCGCCTCTAGGAGAGGATTTTCTACAGAAAAAATGGTTAGCAGTGCAAATCTTAGGAACAAACTTCCGCATATAAAAATTAGGAATGTATGGGATGATTCCTAGTTAACTTTTAAAATTAAATTCATTTATTACACGGAAGATACTGACAGTTTCTTGACTGATGTGGGTCGGATCGCTTCCTCTCAGGTTTCATGAAGGAGCACTCATATACATTTTTTGTATATGGGTAATAATTTTTTAATTAAGTTTGGGTTTTAGAGCAGAATTGCTTCGTACAAGCAAGTTGTTAAAAATTCATAGAAAGACTTCTCAGACAGGAGATCTGGTTAGATTCGCATTGAGGCAGACCGATAAAGACAAAGGTCGGTAGAGTCGGCAGGCACGAACGTTTCATAAACGCTCCTACAAACCCCACGCAGCAGGAAGGTTCCTCATAAAAAAGGAAGATGTTGAGGCTGCACTAGGAGATTTTGTACTTGATTGCAAAGCAAAATTTTCACACACTAGAAAATTTTCAGTCCTTATGGCGCCAAGCTTTGGAATGGAATTTCGTTAGACTAACGGTCTGGCAATTATTTTTTTGCGTACAAATCCGCTCTAATCTCTAAAGCTTGTGTAAAATAGGGGAATCGCAAGTAAAATACTAAGTATGTTTTTTTTCATTAACATTTCGCCGCCGAGTGATTGCCATTTACTTCGGGTGCGCAGTTTCTCGTTCAGATGACAAACTCATTTGAAATTATGCTTGCGCGAATCCGTAAATTTGATATTCTCCTTCGTAGTAACTCAAGGCAGTGACCCATTTAAGATCCTCAGCCGTTGAATATCGTGTTAATGACAACAAAAGGATTTATGCGGTCATTAAATTACATTTTTCATCACGTTTATATGCATCATAGCTATATAAACCACCACGGGGTCTAATACAAATTTACAGATTTTTTAACCTTCGTTTATTATGCCTTGTACAGAAACATATATGTTCGCTAGTTAACGATATTTTTTCCAACAGCTTTTGTTTAAAACTCCGTTGCTTCAAGTTTTTGAATTCTTTGACCCTCTTTTACCGACTCTTACCCTGTTACTTTGCTGCAGAACGAAAAAATTCGTTTGGTTAACATGCACGGAGTTGAATTGACATTGACCGTGTCGCGAACGCATGCGTTAAGCAATATACACAGGCGCCGCGTCTCAGAATTTGTGATCAACCAAATTCATTATTATGGTGCTGTAGCCGCCGATTATGATTTTACAATGTCCGCTGTAGCCTTACCTTGTTGTTGTACTCTTTTCAAACTTCTCTTTCCGAAAAACGTTATCCCATTGAACGATAAACAGTTATCTATTGCTCAAATGGCCCTAATAAAAGACAGAAAAAGGCGGTGTTCTTCCTTGGGTGGGAACAATGGCCGTAATCCCTGACGATCGAACCGAAAAAGATATCTTTGGCCCTGGCTTAATAAGTCGTTAAGTTATCATCCTTTTCTTAATATGCTTGTCACCGGTGCCCAGCAACAGCTTCTAATACTTTAATCGATGCCATGAAGTTTACGTTGCCCATAGGGAGTCGAGACAAGCGAACGAGGATTTTGAAGCGAAACCGTATCGCGAATTGTATTCTTTACTTACGTTTCATCGAGCACTTATATGATCGACCACCATTCGGCAAGAGCTAGATTAATATCGTTTCTACTGCATCCATATTGCAAGCCATCCCACTACGACTACCAAGTTGGGGGACCTGATTTAAATTTGTTGTGAGATGATGAGAATGAGCGTCTCCTGCACCAGCTGTTGACGTAATGGTAGCATATTAGCGTTTGTACTAATAAAACACCGGATATTTTATGACACTGAAGGAGGGAACTTGGATTTGGACGAATAAGGTATATTCAGTTGGTATAAAATTGAGTTTTTGATACTTTTTGGACACAATAAAAAGTATAAAATTCGCCGCATCAAAAAAGTACCACATTATCGATAACCTTAAGATACACGAAAGAAATTTTGTTTTCCAAACAGGCCCAAATTTTCTTGACACTACTGATATGTAGGATCCGGAAAGAAAAAGCTCAGTCAATCTCAGTGCGATAACATCCGTTTAACAGGTAGCAAACGGTGTCCAGTTTGACCTATATAACAGCTTTTATCAACATGATAGAAACGACCAATGTCACGTGGTGGGCTAGTTACGAAAAGTCTTTTTCAAGCACCCATGTATAATATTATACAGATTGCATAAAGTTATTATCATGCTCACGTCGCTGCAGATAAACTAACAATTAATACCTGTTTTTTTCAACATGTATATATATATAATAATGGTACTTAAAATTTATTAATATGGGAGCCTTATTGGAAAAATAAAAATCATCTTTATTTTTACAATTATTAAGTCACTTAAATCATTCAAAAATAAAAATATGATACTTATTTAATACATGATATTCTTCAAAATTATTATTTTTAGGCGATAATGCGCAATATCTCGTAACCGTATTGAGTTTTATCATGAATATCTTTTTATCATAACTGAAACTCAAATCAGATTACCAAAAGTAAATCTATATAGGATTTTCACTAAGGGTCTTGTAGAAGATAGTTACGAACGTTTGCTGTACTCTATGTATATATACTGGGCTTGATGAAAACCATGACAAGGCCACGAACATTTTCGACATTCCGCGTCCAGTATTCAACATACTCTTTTTTGCTGTGATTCATTTGTGCGTTAGTTGTACCCGAGCACGACTCCAGGAATTGTTAAGCACGCCCCTGAGATTCCAGAGCGGCTCAACTGTGTCTGGCTGTGAGTTGTAGGATGAATCCACGGCCTTACAGACCAACTCAGCGAACTTCTGGTCCGGTTTCACAGTAATATTAGCCTAAGACGTTATTAGAACTATGAATGAATAAATGTACCATAATTATATTGAGCTACAATAAGTGTAAACCATGCTGAACCATTAGTTTTTTTTATAGCTAAGAGGAAGTGGGCGTTACCTTACAACGGACTTTAAGGTTAGCCAACATATATCTATTATACAAGGATCAAATAAAGTGCTATGAGATCATTATAAACAAACACGTAGAAAGATAAATTAAAAATTAATTGAAATATTTAGGTGAGCACCACTGGTCGAATTTTCGCATTAGGAAATACTTGCATAGGGTAGCTAATAAGAAATAAATTTAAAACCTCCTTTAACTAACTTAAAACACTGCACTGCCGAGATGAACTTCCTCACCTCCCAAAGCGTCCAAGACCAAGTTCGATAAAGCGGTAATGCCTTTTCCTGTTTGACAAGATCTGCCGTTTGCCAGGTTTTTCCACCGTCTGCAGATACATCCACCTTAAAAATTTTACAAGTAAGCAGAATGAATTAATATGACGCAGTTCTCGATAAATGTCTTGTATGGTCTCGTAAACTTAGGTCCTACGTTGTGTTCTTATTACCTTCTATTTTGTTTTTTAATAATTAAACTTACCCGAACGATCTTTCTTCCTCCGCCAGACCAAGCGTAACCTCGAAAATGAATTTTTCCATCAATGACCTGGGCCTGAGTTCCATCCAGCGGATCGCAAATAGATGAGATCACAGGCAGCTCCTCGATTGCAGGCGCACTTTTGAAATCTACGGTGTCCCAATCTACGCTCGGACAGAAACCTAAGCAAGATTGACAAAACGAAAATTAACATATTGGGCAGATTTATTATTTGAAATGTGGCCATGTACTATTATTTGCGTTTGAAGTATAAAGTACACTTGCAGTCTTCTACATTGAGTACTATATGTGAATGTGTTCTGAATTGCAGAGTTACAATACAATTTAATACTTTACAATTTATCTATTATTTTATCTTTTATTCATATTTTAATTTGTTTATCTGTTTCAACAGTATTGCAACTTATGCAAGCTAAGAACGTGAATGCTAGAAAAGAAGGATCAGGCTTTTTCTTAGTATGTCTAGGTTCAAATTTAATTTTATTTAATGCGTTGCACTTTTTGCTACTCTAAGGTGTTGGCCACACTTCGATGAGACTTTTTGTATACTATCATGAGCACATTCACTTATGAACGGCTAAATGAAGTTAAGTAGCCCTCGGCACACAATAGAAATAACTTCCTCAGTATCTGTCTTGGAGTTTAGCCGATTACTTTAGTGACAACCTTGCAATCCCAACATCTGAAAATTAGGTTCCATGTGACCTACTAACGCTGTTTGAAATAGTCCACAGTCGATGAATTGAAACCCAGGTTATAGAATTTATGTCAAACACGCCACAGTAACGCACACAATTACCCAAACTTCCAAAGATACATAGGTAGACAACGGTGTAAATATTTATACTTATTACCTTTATAATCATTTTGCTGCCAGTGCGAGTCAGATTCGACTTCAGAAAGAGCTATCCTGCCTAGCCATTTAACGTTCCGTGCTCCCACAACTCCTGGTACAACCACTCGCACCGGAAAACCATGGTCTCGAGAGAGCACCTCTCCATTCATCTCGTACGCCAGTATCACATCACTATCGGGATTCAGTGCCTGAGAATAAGGATAAAGAAGCTTATTGCTCAAAATACTATAGTATCAAAATGATACCAATGAACTGTACGATACTACTTAAAAAATATGAAGACGTATATTCACATTCCGGAGAGGTACCGGTTTTTAAACTGTATATTCCAGATAAAATTGATATTGCCCCACCGCTCACTTCACCCGTATCGGACGTTTGTGACTCACCCGCCTGGCAGTCACTGAGGCCCCATACGCTTTACCGGTAGGATCGAGGTCGAGCCCGTCGAATATCACGTGATTTATCCGTGGATCGTGGAGATCAACACCCAGGTATTGCAGTACGTCGGTTAGGCGGGCTCCAGACCACGTGGCGTTTCCAATTGCGGCTGCACCCCAATCCAATCCTTTCACCTTCTTAATCTGAGCAAGAAGAGAAATACCAAAGTATAAATTGCTTATACAGTTATGTCTAATGACGGCACCCCTACGCTAATTTTTCATTTTGTTGCTTATATCAGGTCGTTAAAAGTATAATGACCACTACTGTTTCTTGCTTGCCGTTTTCATTTTCATCTTTATCTTTCAGAACTGTTTATATAGGTTTTTACAAAATTTAAACTTGGAGATAAATCTGTTGCGTAGCAAAGAATAGCAGTTTCAACAACTTTCATTTAACTTGACTGAAATTTAGAAGGCTATTGAAACACAAGCTTAGGTGTAGCGTGTACGACAAAAAATCCGTAGCTGACGGTTATAATTAAATGTGATTTGGGAAGTTTAAAAATAGCATTTTCGACTTATTAAGCATATGCTATTCGACTTTTCCGAGTTTGGCGAAGATCACTTGAGATTTCTTGACGAAGAGTCCTTTTAAAATTGTAGCTATAGAATTCTCATGGAACGTGAAAAACAAACTTTTGCAGCTTTTCGACATTAGCGAAAAAAAAATGTCTAGTAACTACGCTTCCTTTTCGTCCTACATACCCACCTTTAAAGCTTGAACCCAAAATAAAGTTTCATGATCCGAAAAATCAGAAATGCGAACTAATAGACAAAACTGGTCAATATTTTATTAAAATTCTAATATTTATGTGAAAGCGATATTAGAGCCGTGTGGTTGAAAGTTTATCATATGACATCAAATATTAAGCCATTTACTTACAGAGTCGTTCATTATTATTTTTAATAGCCTTCACGTTTTAAGTTTATCGTACAGAAACGCATAATTAGTTTTTCAAATAAGCGAACATTTTATATAAAACGAAGCTAGGGTCTCCAACATAAAACGTATTCATTGAGCAATGAAGAACCTTGTTTTGTTCCGATCGGCGATTTCCGGCGCACTGAAGGGTTGCCGTGATCGTGACCTTCGGGAATTTCGTTTTTAGCTCATCCAAGGTCAATTCTTTCGTGCCCTTTATGCCGATACCTTCGATTTCTAATTTATACTCTGAAGGATCAATTAGAGGGACGGGCAAATGGTTCCGAACATAGAAAAGAGAACTGGAAATAATAAGAAGGCAAATCAGGAATGATCTTATTTCCGCAATTGTAAAAAACGCTTATTATCATCATCATCATATTAATTAGTATAACTCTCAAACAGCACCTTAGCACCCTCTTAATTAGCATGAACACCGAGGCTCAATGCTTATTACATGTTCGTGCATACAGCCCGCGCTGTATATATCTGATGGACGCTGCCTGTACTAATTATGGTTCCAATCGAACCTATTATACGGTTGTGTCTGCTCACTCATGCAGACAGGCTTGGTGTAGCTGTTATATTGCTCTGTTTTACTTAACAATGTCAACGTACCATAGTTATTTCGTTAAACTAGCTTTATAATTATTTTAGCTTACTTCTGTTATTCGACTGTGCTGTATTAGTACTTCGTGTTTACAGGTTTAATCTCTAAAAATATACGTGAAGGTTATGTTCTCGGCATTCCGTTGTTTCGCTGCAACTATCCTATCCCGTCTATAACTAAACAGGTAATAAGATAGTTAATTAGATAACTAAACATTTTTTTAATGTTTAGACTTTTTTAAAGTCTAAAAATAAAATTATCAAAATAAATACCATACTTAATAAATTACCATAAATACGTAAATAACAATATTTTCCCAGTTGAACAGTAGAGCTTATAGAATGTTATTTTACAGCAATATTCTTACGAACGTATATGCCAAAAAGGCACAACCATTATAATCCTTTTTAAGGCAACAATGGAGTCGTTCTGGATATATCGCTATATATATAGTCGCTTCGAATATATGTATGAGCAAATTTTTTTTCGTTTTAGAGAATATGTCATTACAATTACTATCGTACTTGTAAACATAACAACCTAATGAGCGGTACGGCCAAACAACACAACATAATACTGGATTCACAAAAGTGCTGCTAAAATATCCTTCGTTTGTCGGTTAATTCTCCCATATGATCTGGCTTGTGAAATATTAATCTGCCTGTCTGCAGTACATACGTCAAAGCTTAGGGCATCCGAACAACAGGTTGTTCTTTGTAGGCGTTTTAAACTTTTTAAACAAAATCAAATGCTGGTACGTAGTGCTATGAAGGCGTTTGAATACCATGCTGTGGGTTACTGCCGAGCGTACCCGTCATCCATACGGTTTCATGACAGGCAAAAATGCGTCCATGATAGTATCGCGCCAATCTAGCCCCGAACAGATTGGTGAAGAATATGATATCTTACACGAGTCATGGCGGGTCGTTTTGAAAAGCCCTTTGAACACGAAAAAGTTCATCGCATTGATTGTGCCAAAAGACCTGAATTTTGAGTGAATTTATACCCATCAAAAATTATCTCATGAAAAAGGCACTTACAGAGAAGCCGGACGGGCGGCTACATTAACTAGATTCAGGCGTACTAAAGAGTAGTATTAAAGTATTTTAAGAAGGCTTTATAATGCTGTTCTTTTGGGCAAAACATCTGTCTATGATCGAGGAGATCTGAGAAGGACAATGAGAGATCTTTTTTTATACGATTGAGTTTAAAAGCGATTCTCAACTCGGAAAAATTGGTACCGCACCTGCATTGAGTTCAGCGGCGAATAATAATTGCTTCGAAAAAAACAATAACTGCGGTTTAGAAAATTGAAGCATGTGCAGTTAAATTTTCGATACCTGTTTGGACCAGGTTGTATATCAATGTTAAATGGCATCAATCTGTGTTGTATTGTAATTTGAAGTTTATGGCTATACCTTAGAATATTTTCAAAGTTTAGTACACTATTATACATTTACAGACTTGTAGTGTATTATTATATCTCTCTACAAACGAAAGCATAATTTCTTTCAAAAATGCCTACATCGTCAGTGTACAAGCTAATGTATAAGAATGAAGCCGCTGCATTATTAAGCTTGATCATCTTATAAAAATCTGTAAAGTAAACATTATCACCAGTGTCTGCGGATTACAATATTAGCATAATCTATTGGAACTAGAGAAAGTTAATCGAATACTGAAAGTTTCATACTTTGGGGTATGAAAGTCGTCAGCCAAGATTTGAAGCGGTGGTTCAGCATTAAAGGGCTTCAATGAAGCAGGCTTTAAAGCTTTATGCCTCGGTGGATCGCTGTCGTATGGGTCGTTTATGGTTTCTAATGAGCTACGCGTCTCCTCTAAATTGCCTATACGGTATTCTTCCAACAAGTCGAGAATCTGTAAAAAAAAAAGCATTAATATATACTTTTCGTGCACATAAAACATACTTACGAAAAAAATTATGGAAACTTAACATCTAAACTACTTTTGAAAGCTCATTATTGCAGTAGATATCGTTAAAGAAAATCAGCAACGGCGCTAGATATTCTACTCCGCATATGTTCTATTCCATTTGTAGAGTCGAATATTCGTACCTCCTTCTTCTTATGTACACCGTATATGTCCCAAAATGGGTCGACTGCTCCGCCAGCTCCCAGTAGAATATTCTCTCCTCCAGGATGTTTGTCAATAAAATCAGTAATATCGTAAACGCCATCTCGAAACGTTACCCAGACGCGGTCCTCCTTTGTGACATGTTTTGCCACTTCAGCAACAGAGTACTCCTTGTAACCAAAGACTCGCTCCCCAGGAACCCTCTTGGAATAGGTTGCAGCTGAAAGTATCAACATTGAATTTCAACTTCAAATTTACTGGCACATTCATACAGCAAATAGAACTCCTGCACTATCCGTAATTTAGTACATCTAAACTGAGCTTCGATAATTTTTTTATTTTAGAACAGAGGTGAGACACAGAAATAAGAAAATAGACGTTGCTTCCTTTTAATGCAGTTTGTCATTCGTTGCGTGTACTTTAGAGTATTGCAGTGTTTACGGACAACTCTGAACGGCTGTTAAGCTTAAAGTTAACACATCCCTCCAATTCTCAAGAACCTAACAAAAGTTTCAAGTTACTCATATATAGGTGAGCTCTGGAATAAAAAAAATTAAGGTGCTAACTATTCTCTGCCTACGTTTGCGGGACATATGGGGAGATCGGTGATCGAGCGACACCATTGCGTCGAAGTTGCGAGCGGAAAGAACTCGGTACATTGTTGAAAACAATTCAACAGAGAGCACGCTGATAAAAGATGTACCAATCAAATTGTTTCTCCAGCTTGTAGAAACTTAGCAAAAGAGAACGCACGCTTATCGATAATGTTGGACCTAATCAAGCGAAGAAACCTGTTTCGGGTTTCACGAGTTCATTGACCACGATTGTGACTACGTTGCTGAACTCATCCTTAACCTATCGATGGTCACGCTGACAACCTCATAATTTAAGACGAGCTGTAAGCTAATTTCTGCTGCGCTGTGCTAGACAGAGAAACTAATCGCGCGACACATGTCTCTGAGACCTCCTTACAACTTCCTAAAAGACAGGTGTGGACGAATTCTCACGTCTGCCCGTCAGCAATACCTTATTCCACAGAAAAATAAAGTTAATGGTACAGGTAGGAATAAAGCCAGACGAATAGCTGCACAAAGAGTGATTTGTATCGTGTCCTATTAATTTCACAGTGCTAATAGGGCATTTCACGGACTGCGCTCTTGTTAACAAACACCTGTTATACGCAAGACGCAGGAGGCGGAGTTCTTCATGTTCTAGGTGTGGCGTTCACTGGAGCAGGCTTAGTCGAGCAAGGCGACAAAATTAGACTTTATCCATAACAAATACTTAAACAGTGCGGCTGATATTTTCCCCTATTGGACAAGTCGGTTCAATGCCTGCTTACAGCAAAGGCACCAGGCCCCAAACGGAGGTGATACGCGCCTTAGCGTCCTCCTGAAGGAAAAAGACAGTCTGGGGGAGGGGGGAAGGGCAAGGTGCTTCACCCTTACCGCATGCGACACACAACTTTGTCGCATCGTATCTGTCATAAACCAAAACCAGTGGTTGGACACAAAGTCGTCACTCATTTGGCACTGCAAGAGAAGATTTTAGTAACGCTTCCACAGTGTGGCGTTTCTCGAAATACGCAGCATATAATCATGGCTATTCTTTGAGAGAACAATAGATAATGGAGTTAAACCGTTCGTTTAACCAACTGCCATAGTACAGGGCGATAACTTAAGTCCATTGCTGCTTTTCACTGTTAAATAATTTGCCCTTTCGAGTTCAAGATTTAGCAAAAAACTGGCAAAACGCTGCCTTATGCCGACGATCTTGACTGGAGGGAGTCTGTTTTATGTTTAGCAAGCTCACGTAAAGCTTTCGTTGTAGATGTATAAAACGGAACTGGTGATCGCGCAAGACGAAGGTTTAAAATTCCGTCATAGAGGCCGTCTCATTGGTACCGACGCTTTCATATACCTAAGATGATTTCAGCGTCGTGCGGCAGAGCTTCTGCAGCGTACATTACGAAACATGTGCGACGAATGATGGTGGAAAGTACGGGTACACGAATTTTTTCCAGACTTTCTCAACAAACGGCGCTGGCATTCTTTGAAACGTAAATGTTCCCGGTAGCTTCCTAAGAAATCCAGGTAGCGCGGAAACACCTCTCGTTGGCGCAACTTGAAAAACTCGAGCAAAGCAAATATGCTTTTCTAAAACGCGTTATCGGATTGTAGCGCTTATCGTTGAATAGATATGTATACCTATTAGATGGCACACCGTTATCTGTGGAGCATCTGAGACGCAGATTATATTTTCTTATATTTTCTGCTTATTTGGAGTTCATCGATATGTAGGGGAAACCAATAGCTTAGATCGATCTCCACTTAATTACATAGACGCAATGACTGATAAAACCTAAAAAGGGCCGAATAAAATCAACTGAAATATCGTTATACATTTCTCAGTACCCGAGTTTTACCATTTCATATGCTATGCTGGGTTTTTATTTGCCAGATGTTATGTGCGTTTATGCAAATTGTGATGGAATATGTCGTAGCGTGCGGCGTTTACAATATCTTCCTTGAGCAGTATTTTTGGTTAGCATTCCAGTTTTTAACCATGAACTTCATACGTTCATACAACACAATTGTGTTTTTATAGACATAATATTACCTTATTAAATACTTTCATAAAACTTTCGATGACAACTCAGTTACTGACATGAATCGAGCATTCAGCGACGCTGAAATACTCACCCACTAATGGACGACGTCGATAGTGAGCATAAAGGGTGCCTCCTAGGACAACACCGCTTAAACCTAGCGCCCAAAGGCGCTTGCCACCATGATTCTCAGCAGTGTGTTCGCAATGCGATCGACGACCCGAGTAATGATGTGCCCGAATGCAAACCGGGCCACTCCATCTATCAGTGTAAAGCCATAATGTTAGAGGGTGGTGTAAGCTTCCACTACTTTTTCGAAGGTTATTACTTATGTACTCAGCAATGTGATAACTTTATACGGCTTAGAGACAATACTGTTTACTCCACAAATAAACGTTTGGATGATCCTTTGTGAGAATTTTTTAATCATGGTCCATATTTTTTTTTCACACTCTTGACCCTTGGTCGTGCTTTGTATACAGTAAATTATTTCGTTTAAGCTACAGTTGTCTTCGAAATAGTTTTCTGAAAACGCACAGTTAGTGGGCACTGAATGACATCAAAGCAAACACAGACAACCTATACTAACCTATTAGATCTAGATATAGTGAAATATGAAGCTCACTTTTGTGAGAAGCATTTTTGAGTCAAAGACCATGATGAAAGAGAAAAAATACTCTAGAAATGATAATTAGTATGCTCAACTCCATTTTATGATAACACACCTTGTCTACTACCTTAAAAAAGCTCATTCAGTAAATCGGTAACTCTGCTCCACTGAGCGCTCTGGATAGGTTACAGATCATAGAGATAGCTAGAAGCGTATTTTAGCTTGTTATGTCATTGCATGTAAACAATTTAGAAAATAAGGAAATGGGAAAAAATAGGGTATATACATGCTACAACAAGCAAGCTCATACCATCGATATTGTAACATTTTTTCCCAGGTCTGTGAATCTCGCTGAGTGTTTTAGCGGCCATCTCATTACATGTAAGTGTACCAACTGCGAAGCGCCACGTAAAATTAAATGCTATTAGTATCTATAGTAGTGCCTCTTGTCAGCCTTTTCAATATACAACAACATTTTAGCATAGCTTACAATGTCGAAAGTAATAGACACCAATTTAAAATTTAGCATTAATTAAGTTTAATAATTGTTTCTATTGTGATGCAAATACTGGTGAGTTCACCAGAAGAACAACGATTGTAATGCATTCGGAAGGCATTTTACTTGAAAGGCCGAGACCGGCAGAATAATATGCTATCAAGTGCCGATCTTGTTTGATCAATTGACTGTAAATACAAGTAATTTAAGGATATTGACACTCGAACCCTATGTCCAAATTACTACAATAAAAGACTATTATATCGAACGAAAACTCCCGACATTCGGACATGCCTTTGAAAATGGCCAATGGTGCCTTCTCAGACGAGGAGCATTCAGGGCTTTTAACATTGGAAAAAATTGTATCTGGTAAATTACATGGGCTACCAAATACGGGCTCAATTCAATTCTTAAACTCGATACAAATTTGGCATTTCCAGATAAATACAGTAATTTTATAGTTGCAAAGAATCCATAGCGGAATATAAACAGAGCTACAGTGTCTTTTCGTATGATTGCTTTTTCAAATATTGTGAAGTTATTTAAATAACGTAAAAACTTTACATTAATATTAAAAGATTAATATTAAAAGCGCAAGTGCTTCTACAGACCGCCTCAGTTAGGAATAGAAATAAATGGGAGACGAAGGTTGCAGTCAACTCTTAGTTAGATCAACAACTAGGTCCAAATGTTTATGAAAATGAAAAAAGTGTCAAAAAATATTTGTTATTAACTCATAACCTAAAAAAGTTAACTAGTGTCTGATTAAAACATACAGCTTACTGATATAGTTCGCAGAACAAAAGTTCAATTGGCAAATAAAAAGATGAAATATTCATCGCTATTATTTTGTTTACTTCGCTTAAAGAGAACGTTTACTAATTTGTAATTTAACCGTTATTTTTATAGTTCACAGCAAACAAATTGATACAGAAGAATCAGGCACTTGAGGAACGGGACAGTACTAGCATTTATAGCGATACAAAATACTGACAGACCTGCTTTCTATTGCATCTAGAAAAGAATCATGAAAAAAACTGGGGAGGCGCTTTCGTTGAATAAAGTCCCTGCGGAGCATCAAAATTGACTCACCTCTTTAAAGAAACAATTTTGTTTAACATGGTTATTCAATCGTAAGAAAATGTGTTTCTTGTAATAATATCCTGTAATAATAGAATCACTGAATGACTGAGACCACATACCTTAAATTAAAGTTTTAGCGAAGTTCCAAATGTCAAAGTAAGACAATAAACAACTATTCCAAACTTTGTTTCAGACAGCGTCAACAATACATACATCCGGATGGATCTCTTAGCTGTAAATATTTTCCTGGAAGCGAGTTCCAGTCCTAGTGACTATATCAACGTGCTCCAAACTGACCAAAACAAAGCTCTGTCCGCTTACCCGTAACATCTGCCTATCGGCAGCCGTTGCCGCGCCACTCGCGCGCCTTGTGACATTACTCCCCACCAGTATATTGCTGCTGTACTCATCGTTGTACCTCAATAATTAATACTGATCTTCTTTGCACAGGTACATTCGCGCTGCCGCTAGCAACAATAGCGCTCAACAACAGTCTGGGCGTTACCGCAGTTTTGCTAGTAAACAACTAATATTAATGTCATTAACGCTGTTTATCTGGAGTTTTTCTGGTAGCGGTGATCAGCTCACCCACCAACGGCACTGTACATTGACGCATCAACCATCATGAAGAAGCGCGATATTATGGTACGGTGAGCAGTCATCACCTATTTAAATCTGTCGTCTGCTACCATTTCTTCGTAATCATCGAATGCTCTCTTTGGAACAGCTGCTGCGCCAGAAAAATATGCACTGAACGATACAGCACCTAAATCGGAGGGGACGAATCGCACGACAGCCTGCAGACCAACCGCCCAATAGACACCTATTGCCATAGCACGCACAATCAAAAGCGCAGCATTTATTGTGTTGTTGAGAAAAATTAGATTGATTTGAAACCTCCCGCGTGTCCATTATCGTCGTATATTCGAACCCGCCGTTAATGGACTACATGCCACAGCACAGTACAATCTAGAAGAAGCGAAATCGTCTGCGATTTTATGTTGATGTACACTGAGGATCTTACGCGTGTGGTGAGTGGTGCGGTGGAACGTTCGTTGCGTTGTATCGACGCGAGTCAACTCTAAGCGATAGATATTTGAAGATCTCAACGATAATGGCAGGAAATGCGACAGCTGCTTTAGCCGTCAGCGGCACCCGATCAACGGGTGAACCAGTGAGAACTCAAAATGGTAAGTAGCTGTGGGAGCCTCGTTCCGATTCCGGGGTTTGTTTTGTACTACTGAATTCGTCAGGATGATAGGTTCAGTGGCGGCACGTGTACCGGTATACCGTGATTTGAATTGAAGCCTTGATGAAATAAATATTTGTGGTTACTAGTGATACAAGACTATGTGTTAATATCAATAGGTGAGTTAGGCGCTATATGATCGTGACTGTAAGCATATGAAAAGTATAGGCTTGTTTTCTCGCTGTGTATGGGTAAGGCAAGCCCGTATATGGGCATCGGACAGTTGGAATTATGAGAAGGCGCGGTTGACGCCAACTAAGGCTCAGCGTGCGGTGCGCTACTAAAAAGTTGCGTTAATGTAAGGCATACTTAACTTTCAGTTAAACCACAGTGCAGGAAGACAGGCGTACTGTATTACACAATGTATAATGATAGGAGGACTAACGTAGGAAAAAGCGGGGGTGTTTCAAAGACAGTGCTGGGATGGTCGCCTGCCGACTCCTGGTTGAAAGCAATAGCCATGGATTGGTCCTATGATAATTCCCTTTGATATGTATCTCTCAGAGAGTCATTCCTTAATATGAATATAGTTATCGCACGTGAAATTTAAAAAATTGATTCTGTATTATATATATATATATATATAAGGTTCGGTACCGCGAATCTTTTGTGGCGGTTAGCTTGTCATTAGTTAAAATTGTTGTGCGAGTATTACGGTAAACAGTATATGGTTTAGAATTATTTCCAGTTATGCCAAGAGCATAGTTGTCACAGGGTTTTATTGAATATTTTGAAAACTGAAAACTAATTGATGTTCTGTCAATTTGTAATTCAAATGGACTAGACATGTAGCTTAAAAAATTGCATGGATGTTTAGTCTTCTGAGATAAGTGTTATGACTTTGCTGTCGGCCAAAAATAATGATAAATCTGACAAATGTTTCTACGAATGCATACCATCCGCAAAAGGTCAACACTGTACCGGATGATCGTACATTATATGTAGGCAATATACTATTAAACCCACTACCAAATGATCAATTACTTAAATAGTGCGCGTTAAATACAGGAAGCAGCATTTTTAATATAACCCTTTATTTATTAGTTCTATATAGTTGTTTTTCAGAAATGTTCTTCTCATTAAATTGTGTGTCTGAAAAGGCAACTTAATTAGTCGTATTCTCTTAAGCTTTGGCAGCCAACTTTATGGCAGATATTTTTTCCTCTTTCAATGTACAAAGCGAAGCGTGAGAGTGCAGACCAGGTTTAATTTGTCATATAATACGATCTATGTATATGCATGCTTGTTACTGTGTGGTAAGAAACGCATAAAACTGATGGATCAGTATTACGTGTAAGAAAAAAAAACTTTAAAAACGGCCATATGTTAACTGAAACAATCGAGTTTATCTTTTTTTCATTTAGTGATGGCAGCTGCGTCGATCGCTAACATTGTCAAGAGTTCGTTGGGCCCTGTGGGCCTCGACAAAATGCTGGTCGACGATATCGGTGTAAGTAATACACTTTTAGTCGTTCGAGGTGTTCGTTTGTTTTCTTCGAAACAATTATACCTAAATGTTATGCGGCTTCACTTGAACTAGTGGCATGTCTGTAGATTATGCTATATAATAGATAACGGTGTTACAACTTTGAAGTCAGTGTTTCTGTCTGCGGGTTTACGTGTTGCAAAAAAACACCACACCAATTGAAATCAAATTGTGATGTTCGTTTAATATCTGTATATATATTTTCAGGATGTAACAATTACGAATGATGGAGCCACTATTCTGAAGTTGCTTGAGGTGGAGCACCCAGCAGCAAAAGTCCTTTGTGAATTGGCTGATCTGCAAGACCAAGAGGTTGGTGATGGAACAACCTCTGTGGTTATTATTGCTGCTGAGCTACTCAAAAATGCGGATGAACTCGTCAAACAGAAAATTCACCCTACAACTATTATTGCCGGCTACCGACTTGCGTGTAAAGAGGCCTGCCGCTTTATCCAGGATCATCTCACTACGACAGTCGAGGAAGTGGGTCCAGAATGTCTTGTAAATGTGGCTAAAACCGCAATGTCCTCTAAAATTATAGGTCCTGATTCAGACTTCTTTGCAAAAATGGTTGTTGAAGCTGCCCAAGCTATCAAAGCCAGTGATGGTAAAGGTGGCTTTAAGTACCCCATCAAGACCGTTAACGTACTGAAGGCCCACGGCGCATCGACACGGGAATCAGTACTTGTGCACGGTTATGCTCTTAACTGCACGATTGCTTCACAGGCAATGCCGAAGACTGTAAACAACGCGAAAATCGCCTGTTTAGACTTCTCTCTCCAAAAAGCCAAGATGCCAATGGGTATTCAAGTGTTGGTAAGTGAACCAGAGAAACTTGAGGCTATTAGACAGCGCGAGATGGACATCACTAAGGAACGTATCGCTAAGATTCTCACCGCTGGAGCGAATGTGATCCTTACGACTGGAGGTATTGATGACCTGTGCCTGAAGTACTTCGTTGAGGCAGGAGCTATGGCTGTACGACGTTGCAAGAAGCAGGATCTACGTCGTATTGCAAAGGCGACTGGAGCCAGTTTGCTGACGAGTCTGTCTAACCTCGAAGGTGATGAGACCTTCGAAGCTGCTATGCTCGGAGAAGCGGAAACAGTTGCTCAGGAGCGAATTTGCGACGATCAACTCATTCTCATTAAGAAACCTAAGGGTAAGTAAACTTCAGCTTTGTAAAACGAGAATAGCAGATTGTTGTTGTATAATTACCTTACGTTCCTAGCCCGAGCTATTTATAAGTGACGTTTGAAAGCCCAAACTTGTTTAACAACACGTCAAAACGCGCAGTCGACCAAAAACAGTAGACGAAATTTGACATACACAGAGTGGTTATGGCATTTGCAATCGGGTATGTGAGGCCCAGTGGTTTGTATGCGTGAATCTGTTCTTTATTCTAAATGAAGTGATATTCCTCAACATCACAAGTCTTAACAGAGTGAAAGCGGTTCAGGATAACAACCTGGCAAGTGTAAAAATGCTCGACTCGACGAATGTATTATGTGAATCTTACGCTTTCGACCCGTTTTTTTACTTCAGTTCACTCAGCTGCCTCCATTATTGTACGTGGCGCCAACGATTTCATGGTCGATGAGGTCGAACGTTCTGTGCATGACGCGTTTTGTGCCGTCAAGCGTGTACTTGAGTCGAAGACCGTCGTGGCTGGTGGTGGGTCCGTTGAGGCCGCACTGTCTATCTACCTTGAAGGATATGCCACTCTACTGAGTTCGCGGGAACAGCTTGCCGTAGCTGAGTTTGCCCGATCACTCCTTGTTATTCCAAAAACGTTGGCTGTTAATGCAGCTAAGGATGCCACCGATCTCGTCGCAAAACTCCGTGCGTACCATAACTCGGCGCAGACGAATGCTGAACAGCACGGTGCCCACAAATGGAGCGGTCTGGATCTGATCGAAGGCGGCGTACGTGACAATCGCGCAGCCGGTGTTCTCGAGCCAACGATGAGCAAAATCAAATCCCTGAAGTTCGCAACCGAGGCCGCTATCACCATTCTTCGTATCGACGACCTCATCAAACTGAATCCAAACGACAAGCGAGGGGCAGCGGATGAGGACGATTGCCGTTAAGGCCATATATCTATTTAGATTGTTTCTGGTTAGATATGAGAAATACGAACTAAGAAGCGCAAACAAACTTGAACTTCAATCAAAAGAAGGAATACATAAAATATAATTTCATTTAAGATTATACATGAATAAGGAAATAAAATAATTACTATCCATTCATCTACGCATCTCTATATCATAAATCTGCGCAGACACAGTTGGGGGACATATCAACGGGATAAATTAATTACTAGACATGATTTTTGTTTATTCATTTCTTTTTAGTAATTATTTTTTTTAGTGCATTAGAAGCACCGTACACCATGAACGACCATGCAAAGAAATAGCCTCACTAAAATAAACATATGCCACGTTATAAACGTTATAATACTCATTATATTTACAGTTACAGAAATAGGCAGAAATAGCGCCAGTTCAGATCTCATGGAAGTTGGGTAACTATGGAATTAATGCAAGGGAGAACAAATTATCATTTTTGTTATGCGTATTATTTACCTAACTATATCTATTGTTTGCCAACGCTACGTTTAAGATAACTAAGCAGCTTACCATATTTAGTGCTGATCGATTATATATAATTCAGGCGTCGCTCGCTATTATCGATACAGGTGATCTAATCATTTGATGTATATTGGATCATGAGGCCGTGACGTGTATTTAATAATAGCCTGCAGCTTACGGGCGCATGTTTGCTAACAGCTTCGCTCTTTGGCCTCGATTCATTTTGACGACTGGATTGTTTGAAAGCGATTGATGGAAATTCATTTTTACTGGTAAAATTTAGGGGTAATCTATTTTGCTAACGGGCTACATTTGCGAATAATGAAAAGGAGAAATGGGAGAACCCAGTTTGTTTGTCGTACCATTTTGTTTTCTAAAACGTCGAAACTACTGAATGAATCTGCGTAAATGAAGCATCATTTTGATAACCGCTTCAAGCTAATCCTTTTCCCTTGTTAGAGGCTATAACTTCGTACAGAGCCATTCAAAATGTTAAAGAGTTTCCGTTCAGAGTTAGTGAATGAATTAATTTTCTACACTAATTCTATTTTGCGTAACGTTGTTAGTGCTAATTATTAAAATGTATTTGAACGCTTACTAGATGTAAGGAGCACGCAGTGCAGCGAAATACAGAAAATCATAAAAGCTGAGTATCGTAATAGACGTGGTCCGTTACACATCCTTAACAACCGTGTTAGTACTTTAGAAGCGTGTTACGAGTAGGTATTATAGGTGACATTCCACATAAAAGTACGTTTGAGTTACAAACGTTTGCTTTTTCGGAGTGTTAGCATTCATTTCACGCCTTGTAATCCTGGCACCAACCCCGGGGTCGTGTGGTAGTACCGTTTAGTGTTATTGCTGGCCAATTTTCTTTCCAAGGTTGTTTTCCACGACTTTAGTTACTGTCACTATAAAAACAAAAAAGACAAGATTCATAGAATTTCTCACTTGCTCGCAGATTTATCGAGACTATATCCTGCTGATGATAATTTACTAATAACTAAAATGTATACAGAAGTACTCTTTGTAATGAGGAGCCACCGCTGAGCATCAAATGTATTTGTTAAGACTTCATAGCTGCATATTGTCCAAAGCAAAAGATTTCTCTTCATAATTATGTCGTGATCGACGAATAACAAAAGAAAAAGATATATCTAGAGACATTTTTTTGAATGCGAAATTAAATTTTTTAGCTTGAAACTATTGCTCCGGTCTATTCAGTCCGGTGAGAGTCATTCGTCGGTGTTCATTAGCCTACTAAATCAACGATGGCAGTATCACGATATCAAATATAGCAATCCTTTTACTTCAAGGTTAGTTCTTCAAAAACATGTGTGACTTCATTACATCGGCAGTTTCGACTATTACTCAATAATCAACAATTTTCGCAGCTATTGCTATCTATATTACTATCCAATATAGGACATACCGAAAATGAGCGCATGCGTACTCCCTATGTTTCTAGTTTTATGCCCAATATTGCCTTTAAGTCTTTCATCAAACGGCACGCACTGTCTCGCACTAACTTGACGAAGTTAGGCGTATGGCATAATTGCAGACCACCTTCGAACGCCCAGTAAGCATATCGGCATAAATAATTTTCGTCGACAGCGCAGCTTGGGACCTGGCGTTGAGGTATAAACAGTTAGAAATGTGCATATATATTTCTGTAAAAGCGTATACGTAATAACTAATAAAGACTTTAAACAGAGCTTACATTTATATATCTATATCGGAGTATGCCAGTGTCGCAAGACACGATAGCTTGTTAAACCTTTGTTTTCATATTCGAACGTTGGGAAGTTAACTCTTGTTCATTATAGGCTGTTATTCAGTGACATGAAGACTATATAGTCATTCGTAGACAAGTCTTCTTTGCAAATTCACAGTTACATTTTCCTGTCTGTGGCTGGCTCGTCCGGTTGGTACACGCGCTCAAACTCGTGGATAAACAAAAACGACAGCTATCAGCTATTTTAATTTTAGGATATTAGCTGACGCAGAATTAATATAAGCGGTGGAATACTCCTAGTCAAAATGGCACTGAATGACATTTTCGTCTGAAACATTGCAGTCCCACCTTGAGTTACTCCCATCCTATTCGGAGATATCTGACTACCTTAAATGATGCTTGTGATTTACCATTATAAAGTATACATCCTGTACAACAGCAAAAAACAGCATTCGGCGTATTCAAGAGACTGAAGATGCGATTGTTCTGCATTGACATTTCTACCTGATGACAAAATGAGCTCATGCAATTTCAGTGCAACAAAAACCGAAGCTTTTATGGCATTTGGCATTGAAATCACAGCATGCTGACCTGCTTTTTCAGTTTATAACCGCATGTTCACTGTTATTTAAGAAGTGGATTTATAACTTATTTTTGTTTTTTTCTTTGGATTTCCGTTACAACTTTTATAGCGCTGAAGAAAACCCTGGACGTGTAAATAGTCGTTGTTATGCGTTGCCACCGTAAAAAAACGGTTGATCAGCCTAATCAGACTAAAACAAAGTCAACATGAAAATAAGTGAGGGGAAGTGGATGCATGTGATTGTGCTACTCTGGGCTAGTGGGTCATCAATCGAAAAACCCATACATTTTTGAGCTTTAGAACGAACCTATATTAAGACGTGACGGTGACAGTTCTAATGGCACTAGAAACCCTCCGTTAAAAGATACGTCAAGACTTAGAAAGCTCACGCATGAGAACGCAGGACACTTAACACGTCCGCACAATGTACATATCGAATACCCATTTTCTCGCCGTAACAGCTAGATAAATGCTTACGGCATAAAGTAACAAGTCATAAACTCTTAAATTAACAGAAACCAGTTATAGGGGAACCAAGTAAACTTGAGAAATATATATTTTTATATGCTACGCACACAGTCTCTTTTCAATCACAGAGTCGATGAGCTTCGCAAAGGGTTAACGAATGTATTTTGTTTGGTCTCCCTATTGATTCTGTGCCACAGGTGTTTCCGGAATGTCCAAAAAATTAAATTCACAATTAAACAAAGCGGCGTAATTACAAATTTAAAGTTTTCTTCTATAGATACATGTTAACATCCTAAAATTTTAATAGTAATATGATAACGTTTATTTATACATTTTGAAAAATGCTTGATCAGCTGACGTCCAACCTTGACAAAAGATTCTTCATTGCAGCATGAGCGGGCGACTTTCGGCGCTGGGGTGGAACAACACACGGCCAATGTAACCGTGACTATTTTGGGTGGCCGGAGACCACGGCTGTTCTCTTGTCTTATCGGTGGGGGATTTTTCTGTACGACAGTGCACCACGTTATCTGAGCAAAGCGTTACAAACTTTAGTAGTCTGTCGACTCGGAAGACACCGAATCTGTATATGGAGCAGTCAGAGCAGTTGCAATAGTATCTACAAAAAATTATGTTAGTCTTCTTGCATATACACGAATAGACTTACGTGGCTGTAAGCTTGTCTGCGACATAATTGCTTAAGATGTTACTTTATTTTTAAAGTAGTCCTCATATGCTCATTTATGTCGGCATACTGAATTCGAGGAAATTAGTGGAATTTATTAGGAACTTGTCAGACCAGAATCTACAAACTTAGGCAATTCACCGCTCTGTATATTTATTCGAAAGCCACGTAGAGAATCATCACTCTGCTGTGGGACCCAGAGAGATCTCAAGGTAGCGCGCTTATCATCAGAGCCGCTTGCTGCAGGAGTTTTATTGTAATCACAAATTATAGGAGCCGTATTCGGAGCCAACATGGCCAAACAGAAAGAGAAACACTAGGTAAATGCGAAGTCTCAAAAGAACAGAGTATTTCTATGGATAATAGTTGCGAAAACCAATTTGAAAAAAATGTATAACACGACAGCAAGTGTCCGACTGAACTTAGAAGTATATGATACCCGGGTCGAACTTTGAAATAGACCAATTTTATGCTGGAGCCTAGCCATCCGATGCAATACTAGTTGTGACATGTCCATTTGTATCTCTTTTCAAGTGTGTTTTTTGCGTATTTTTCTAATTTCCTTCCTCTACTATTGTTCAGAATAACTTCAACAACAATAGATCCACAATAAATTCATATAAATTGAGAACAAACCACAAAGTCAACTAGCTAGTCAATTTCGCGTATCTGAAAATGCGAAATGAAAAACAATGCAAGGTATGACTGAAGTATGAACTTTGGCACAATATTTACGCATGCGGCGTTTGTAACTACAATTGATTATATATAAGACGAAAGCTAACGAGTGCCTAAAGCACTTATCTTTGGGCCAGAAGCCTTTGCTTGCGTAGCTGTGCACCGTACATATAAAATTCACGCGAATGCTTTAATAAAGGCCCACTTCAGATACTGATATGAAGACTTGGCGCACGTATAAGAGCCTTTTCAAAATGAGTCCGCATAAAGTGATTATAATAGATGAAGTTAGTATAAAAAGGCGTGCAACACAGCGGCCTAACGGATCAATAATAATGAGCAATCCACTATAAGTATATAAAGTCAATGCATAGCAATGTCTTTATATATGTAAAAAAAAAATAGCCTAACGGAAATATTTTTCGCATGAGCAAAAGATGAAAATATATTTTTCTTTGTTCTGCTACAGTGGTTTTGAGGTTTGATTGCATATAAGCTGGCAATGGATA